TGGTAAAGGGAAGTCTAGCAATTCCTTTATAATTGAGGAAATACTACAATCCATCACATGTACAGACTTAGGAGTTCAAAACTCATGGAAAACTTGGGTAAAATACATTTCTGAACAGATTAGTCTGAGGCTAGGCACCTTGACTTTCTTAAAATTTGCCCAAAGATACATATCTTAAAGGAGGATGATCACCTATTCATCTTCCTATCAATACCATGCTCCAGGCAGTCCAGTGCTAGACCTTACTTAGAGAGAACTGCTCCTCACAGTCAGCCTCAGGGAACACATCACCCTCTGTTCCTCTATGATAGGCCTCACCGCATGAACTTTTGTTACAGCTACTAGCGCTCAAGCATCACTCCCCCACTGAAGTGACTGTCTTCATCATAGCAAGCAGCACGCTCAGTTTTCATCCATCAATGCTAGCTGAATTAAATCACACTTAGTCTCTCTGGGTCTTGGTTTCTTCATTTAGAAAATGATAATATGTGTTGAGTCCTTTTCACAGAGGTGTCCTAAGGCTCCAATGAACTAATATAGATAAAAATAATTCTGTAAAATGGAAAGAGCCACACAAGTGTAAGAGATGCCATCCAGCAAGCTGGTACCATACTCAATGTGATGAATAAAGTTACACAGACAGCATAGAGACCCAGTTGGGCTTAAAAGGCTTCTGGTTAAACTTCAGAGGAACCAGGTAGTACACAAAGATTCTAGAAAAAATTGTCATAATAATTTCAGGATTCTGGTTCAAAGAGGCAAGGATGGTCCCCAGATGCTCCTAGAATGGAAGCTTCACAGGACAAGCTATCTCACCTATTTCATCCATCAAAGAATTCCCAAGGCTGGAAATATTCACATTTGATGAGAGGATTCCCAGAGATTCAGACTTGAACCAAGAGGGAGCCTAGGGAGCCTAAGAGTCCTGCCTAGCTTAGGAGACCCAGATTGACCAGTCTGCAGTATCCATAGTCTGAAGTCCTTCAGGAAGTCTATTTTCAACCTCTCCCTCCAAACACTTGGGAAGTTCTCAACTGAGAGGCTCATGATGCAGGGAAGCAAGTAGAGGCCTGGGAACTCACAGGAAAACAAATCCAAATTCTACTTTGGGCTCTGAAACTCACTACCTGAATGACTTCTCCTTAAAATGTGGTTAGCAGAACTTGCTTTGCAAGGTTGACGCAAAGATTAAGGTTGATAATACATGTAATTCACTAAGCACAATCCTGGGACATGGTAAACACTAAACAAATAAATCACCTTTTTCCTTCTGGGTGAAGAATGAGCCCAAATTAAGCTCAATGATACAAAATCCCCCCCAACTCAGAACTTTGGTGTTAAGAGCAAAGACTGAACCAAATTTCCTTTTAGGCCCTAATTTGGGCAGAAGTAGGACAACCCATCGAGACACTGGACATTGGACTGTTCACTGAGAATGAACAGTCCAATGATTAATACTTGCTACATAATCATCATTTTCCCCAAATACTTGCTACATAATCATCATTTTCCCTAAACTATAACCAAAGTCATTTGAGTGCTAGTGAATACCATTCCTTAAGGCAACAATAAGCAAGGCAAATATTTGTTACACCGAGCAGGAATCAGGATTTGGCTACAGTAATAAAGAAGGTTGCACATCCAGAATAAGATTTTTGGTATGTACCAGAGTCTTTGGTAGGAGAAAAAAATTCCAAAGGTAAGGCTTTCAGGCTTCGGAGTTTTGTTGACACACGTAAGAAACTGGGAAAGCAGAAGTATTTGAGCTGATACTCAAAGAATGACCTCCTTCATACCCTCTAGAGTGTTTGCTCAGAAATTAGCAGTGCTATTAGCAACTATACAAGTGATGGGACACACCATTGACTTCCTGTGCGTCCCAGTGACCTCTACACAGCAGCACTTGGGCACACTCCATATTTACTTATGGTGCAATCTGATCCTGACTTCAGTGAGTTATTTCATAAGCCTTTTAAGGGTTACTACATTTTGTTCCTATAAGAGGTCAAGCCAAATTAGCAACAAAAGAATTGTTAAACATGAGGAAAAATCACTTTTTTTTTTTAACTCAAAAAAGGCAGTCATGGTCATTTAAAAGGTAAAGTGTTTTACTCTCTATTAACTTTCTTTTACAAAAATCAGCCCAGTAATTTTCCAAGGGGGATTAGTAGTCTTACACTCATATCTGCTTAAAGAGGAGGAATCCCAAAATGGTGCACCCATATAATAAAAGTGCAGGTTATCTGGCATTTGGTTCTGTGCCAGGTCTCACAGGAATTATTCCAGTTATCAGTTGCTACATAACAAATTATTTTCATATGTAGTATCTTCATATGTTCATTTTATTTTCACTCTTTTTCCCCTTGTTTTTCAGACTAGATGATTTCTACTGATATGTATTCAAGTGCATTGGCTCTTTACTCTGTCACCTTTCTTGAGATAAAGGGTACTCACTAATTTTTTAAAATTTTAGAAACTGTATTTTTCATTTCTAGAATCACCACTTCATTCTTTTTTATAGTTTCCATTTCTCTCCTGAGCTATTCTATCTTTCTATTCATATGAAGCATATTTCCCTTTACATTCTTGAGCACAGTTAGATTTGCTATCTTAAAATCCTTGTCTGCTAAACCCAACATCTGTGTCATCTAGCAGCATTCACTGATTATCTTTTCTCTTAATAACAGATCACATTTTCCTGTATGTCAAGTATCTGAATTGTATCCTAGACATTATGAATGTTGTACTGTGAAAACTTCTGGATTATATTAAATACCTCTAAAGAGTTTTGATATTTTTGTTTTTGGCGGACAATTCTTTTGGTTTAACATAACCTGTAAACTTCAGGTGACAGTTCAAATCTCAGTACATTATTTCATCCTGAGCTTGGCTACTTGGAGCCTGCCCCATACATGTGGGATTCAAGGCATTAGCAGGAATTTAGGTAGCAGATATACAGAATCTGGGGCTTATGGTCTCCTTTCCATGATGTCCCCCTCGCTTTCCAATGGCTGTGGTTGCCTCAAACTCTTCTTTATTCTTCAAGCTAAAAAGACTGGAGGTCTTTTCTCAGAGTTTTCACTGTCCTGCATAGTACACCCTCTATCCTTCCCTTCTTCCAAGTATCAGTTTGAATCCAGAATCTGCCTGTTTGTGTTCAATTTGTGTGTTCTCACATAGCTGCCTTTTGTCCAAAACTTGTAATCATTCTGTGCAAGAGAACCGGTCAAATGGCAGTTTACTGGGCTATTAACAGAAGTAGGACCTACACAACTTTTTTTGTCTTTCCAATTTTTCACTTTCTCTCACAACGTTGTGGATCGTAAATTCAGAAGGGGCTTTGTCCATTAGGGTATCCCTAATCTATGTGGCATCAGCTGGGCAAGTAAGGAACAGAGGCTGGATCTACTTCCAAAATGGTTTCCCACACACGCCATGCCTTGGTGTTCTTTGACTAATCTCTTTTTCTCTGCTCACTCTACATTTCATCTTCCAGGGTGTCTCCATGTCAATTCAGCAACTCACAGCAAGGTGATCTCCCGGAATTTGTACTTCTTATATGGTACACTGGCTTCTAAGAAACAAGAAATAGAATCTATCCAGACCAGTTCAGAGCTATGCCAGAAATGGTACAGGATCACTGCCGCCATATTTTATTGTTCAAAGCAGTCACAGGACCTGCCTAGATTCAAGGGGATGAGAAACAGATGCCAACCCTTGACAGGGGAGTGGCAAAGTCACACTGTAGAAATGAATGTAAAATGACAGATATTTTTTATATTTTAGGAAAATATAATCTGCCATACATTTTAATATTTAATAAAGCAAAACAAATGCCACCCAAAGTAAAACTCCAGGAAGACACAGGAAGGCTAGTTCAATCTGAAGCACTGTGGTCTGATTTTCCAGCCATCTTTTTTACCACTCTCTCACATTCTCTGTATAATTACCTCTAAGATGTTCAGCATAAAAGAGGTTTCTAAAACAGCTTACTGAGTTTCCAAAGACTTAATACTTAAACATTATATCCATTTCAAACACCTAGAAGAAAATGTTTATGATGCTATCATCCATATATGTAGGATATAAGTTTTGTCTGTTTTTTCTTCCTAAGATAATAGTCAATAATAACTAGTGTACGTATGTGCTAGAAATTTTTCTAGGCTCTTTAAATATCTTTAAATAAATATCTTTATTGACTGCTCTCTACATGACATAAGAGTGTGTTTAAGGCCAGGTGTGGTGGCTCACACATACCATCCTAGCATTTGGGGAGACGAAGGCATGAGGACTGCTTGAGCCCAGAAGCTCAAGACCAACCTAGGCAATGCAGTGAGACCTTATCTCTACAAAATCAAAAAATGATCCAGGCACAGTGTTGCATGCCTGTAGTTCCTGCTTCTCAAGAAGCTGAGATGGAAGGATCACCTGAACCCAGGAGTTCAAGACTGCAGTGAACCATGATCAAGCCACTTCACTCCAGCTTGGGTGACAGAGTGAAACCCTGACTCAAAAAAACAAAAACAAAAACAAAAAAAGAGTGTGTTTAGATGTACAGGCTTAGTACAAATACAATTTAACAAGAAAGGAGATTGGCTCAAACACTAACGACAAAGACAACGTAAAATTACAAAAATATAAACCCTAATACAAAAAAGTATGACATTTTATGTTTACCTGTGGGGAAAATATATATAATATACATAAACCCTAATACAAACAAGTATGACATTTTATGTTTACCTGTGGGGAAAATATACATAATATACATAATATACAAAATATATATCTTTTGTATGTAAAAATTATATTTTATACACACACACACACACACACACACACACACACACACACACACACACACAAATAAGTATCTCTCTCAAGCTACTTTCTAAGCACTTCAAACTTTCACTCCAAAAAAGTGAATGTATTCTAAATTTGAAATACTATATTCTAAATGAAGTCATATATGTATGATACACACTAAGAAATAATCTTACCTTGTCTTGGTTATCTTTATTCTTGTAACACAGATTTCCAATCAGACGAATGAGATGAGACTTAAATCCTTCAACCACATTTGAGATATCACCTTCTGCTTTCACGCAACCAGAGGCACTAAAGATGTTTGCAGTGTCTTTTCCAGCTACGTGAATCACTCGTAAAAGATCTACAACGAAAAGAGTTGTAGATAAATTCTTTTCCACAGAAAAATAATTTTAAATACTTTTACTAGTTTTCCATAAGAAATCTAATTTATTTTAATAGATTAAAGCTTCCTTTAAGTAACAGTTAGAAGGCTCTTCTGTCTTTGCTTTAAATTTTTGGACTCAACTTTGGGGAGATAAGCCATATTAATTACCTTTCTATATATCCACAAAGAAAAGTTAGCAAGAAATTCTCCAGCATCATTCTTTAAAAAAAGTTTCCAATCTCAACTTCTTCAAGAAAGAACTCACCAGGCAAAGTGGGGACTAAAAGGAGGCCCAAACTTTACTTGTACGATGACTACTTGTATACCTAATCCAGAATTGTACCCCACATCTTTAAAACAAATATATATATATATATAAAACTCATCTGATAACTGCAGTTAGCTAAGTCAATACCTATCTGTAATGACTCATAGGACAGATAGAAACCAAGATTACTTTTTCCCTCATTTGCCAGATAATCAGAAGGCAGCATGTGTTTTCCAGAAATCTATTTTAGCTACATTCAAATTTATATTCTCTGAATATTCCTAGGCAGCCTATGAAAACAATATTCCAGGAACTGTATTTTAGTTTTTCCATATTATCTCATTTAATCCTCTCAACAAACCTATTACAGGCAGATAGCAATGCCCAATGTTATAATAAAGAAATTAGGCTGAGAAGTTGGTAACATGGCAGTTGGGATGGCAACCCATATGTGCCCTGGTTCCAAACTTATGCTCTTTTCACAGTGACTCACAGTGTCTCAGGTTCATGGTGTTTTATTTCAGTTATCAATAAAAGCACTGTGTCCAAAATAAAATGTGATAGGAAACTTCAAATGTCTTCTTTTACAGCTTACCACTAGCTCATCTATACTTCCAGATACAAAGTCATCTTTCTCAGTATAAGTATAATCTTTTTAAAGGAAAAAGTATAAGTATAATCTCCAGAATAAGTATAATCTTTTTAAAGGAAAAAATAGTGAATAATAAATAGCAACACCTAAACATGGCTAACCACATGAATAGGCTCTACTTGAATTATTTTGCAAACAGCTTTTTAGCAAGGTTGGTAATACTTTAAACAATGGCTTCTTGTTTAAAACCACTTTCTAATAAGAACTGAATATATATTATGTGTAAAGCACTATTTTATGTATTCAATAAAAGCAATTGGAATAAATTTACTGACAAATTTTGTCAAGCTATAGTAATCTAAAATCACCATCATAAACGTCCCCCCCCTTCATCATCATTAAACCTCTACTGATGAAATATCTACTATGTGCACCCTGCATAACAGGCAATATTATCCTTGTCTTACTGAGAAACAATCCTGGGCAAACAGAAGGGAAATGACAGAAGTACATGTGGACTTAGGTTTATCTGGTCCCAAAGCCTGAACTATTACCACAACAGCATGATTTCTCTCAAGAAAATTTACTTTTTTAAAAAAATCTCACAAATACATTAAAAATCAAGGATCTGTGTCTGGATTTACATTACAGTATAACAAGCCAAAGACTTCTTAGCTAAAAATACCATGCATGACATTTCACTCACCGATCACTGTTTCCAGCAAGCCAGGAAAAACCTGTAGATAGCCGAGCAGCTCAGTTTTAGCAGTCATTTCACACAGGACGTCAAGAAGCCTAATTGTAGCCAATACCTCCTAAAAAGAAAAGAAAACATAACTCTTAAGTATACCGAAGTTAAGTGAATTAACTATTATAAATAACTACAAAAGAATAAAATATTTCAATAAAGAGTTAGTGCTTAGCCGGGCTCAGTGGCTCAGCCTGTAATCCCGCGCCTTTGGGAGCCCGCGGGTTCGAGACCTGCCTGGGCAGCGAGACCTCATCTCTACAATAAATCAAAAAATCAGCCGGGCGTGGTAGTAGCGCATGCCTGTAATTCCGGCTACTCGAAAGGTTGAGGCGGAAGGATCGCCGGAGCCCAGCAGGTCGAGGCTGTGGTGGCTGGGAGTGGCCACTGCACTCCAGTCTGGGCGACAGAGTGAGACTCCAACTCAAAAAAAAAAAAAGAGTCAGTGCTTATAATACATCTAAAGAAAAAAGCAGAACCATGAAGAACAAAACAGAAGTATTAAATATGGTATTTTCATTTTCACTAACAGCAGATATCTGTTATCCAGAATGCAAGATTATGTGTCATTATGTGTCTTCTTGGAGCAAAGAGTCAAAAAAGCTCTTATTCAAGCAAAAATACCTTCCAACAGTGGAATAAATGTTCAAAATTACTAGCTACATACACAGCATTTATGCAAATACTTTCTTTTTAAGACATTCCCAGTATACAAGTTCCACTTTAAAATTGCAAATATCCTATGAAATAAATTAATTTCTTGTCCACAGAAATCCTGTAAAATACTGTGGTTGAAAGAACCCTGGCTTCTAAAATTTGCATTATTTCTGAGTAAATATGAACCTGTATGCAATATCTTGATGGAATGGAAAGATAGTATTATTTGAAAATGTTATTTCACATAGCTACTAAATAATTTATCAAAAAGACTGCATGACCAAGAAACTACCCAGTACCAACCACATGGCATTAGGTAATCTATATAAAATTTTAAAATGCAATTCTTATAGATTTTGAACTCCATTTTTAAAGTATCCATTATTTGGCAAAATGTGATAGAAAACATAGATTTAGGACATGAAGATAACATTCTTCAAAAGAAAGATAAATTACTTCCTTTTGTTAATTCTAAATGTGTGTTTTTATTGTTCTCTAAACAGAGGATTTAAAGGCAATATTGTAATACAGCCTTCTAAAATCTCAAATAAATAGCAAGAAACACATTTTTTTAATGCTTTGGATCTTCATTTCCTAGCATAGCCTTCACTTGCTAAATAGTTGGGAAGAAAAAGTCTAGATTATAAGTCTGAAATGAGTACCATGTTAAACAAGAGTCTTGAGCAAATTCATTAATTTCACAGGGATTCAGCATGCTTTTATTTAGGGTCTCTAGATAGCATTTCTCCTTTAAGAAACAGCTGATTAACTCTAGATCTGGGGCAGAATATGTACAAGGTGATCCCGGACATTCTGTCATACCAGATAGCAAGGAAACTATTAATCCTTCTGAATCAGGATTCAGAAACAATCTGAAGAGGTTCCTACTAGTCAGTGCTGGCACATTAGGCCATTAGAAAGAATTACAACTGCAAGAGACTGAAAACAAGTGTTTTTAAAGCTATGACTTCATAATGATAATTAAACAAAACAACAAACTGGTCATCTTTGGATGGTGTCACAAAAAAAAACTCATTACTTTACAGGTTGGTAATGGGGGTAAAGGACAATCAAGCACTTATTCTGCCTTTCTTAGTCAAAATGTACCTTATATAACCTAATCATTGATTAGGAAAGTTTCTTTTTAAAAAATATTCCTACTAATAAATGAAGAATGAATGAGAGTCAAAATACCACCCTTTTCCAATCCCTCAGGAATTAATAGGTCTAGGTAATCATTGGTCTGCTAATATCACAAAGGGATAACCAAGTATCATGTGTCTCGATGAAAGTGCTTATCACCAACAATGAAATATTACTGAAAAGAACAACAACAACAAAAATCTGAACTCAACTATGGCACTAATTATTATTCACAGGTAATACAAGGAAACAAAAACGTTAAATTCTGCCACCATGGAAAAAATACTCATCAAAGTCTGAACTGTAGAAAACTACAGGAAACCCAGTTCAGTTTCTTCAACAAATAACTAGCAAAGGTGAGGGGGAAGTAGAAACGAGAACCTATATATTAAAGGAACATGAAGACATATCAATTGCAATGTATGGTCCTTACCTGTATCCTGATTCAACAAAATAATCTTGAAAAATTTATCAGACAATGGAGAAAATCGACGTATGTAACTGATATTAAAATTTTATTGTTAATTTTTTAGATGTGCTCATTGCAGTATCCTTGTGTCTGAAAACTCCTTATCTTTTAGAGCAATAGATGAAATATGTTGGCACTGTGTTTTAGTCCAAAGCAATTGGCAGAAGAATGAGTGGAATTGTGGATAAAACAAGAATGCTAATGAAGTGGTAACTGCTAAAGCTGGGGAATGACATATGGAATTTCACTATACTTTTTTCTCTATTTTATGCTTTAAATTTTCCATGATAAAAGGACAGAAATAAAATTAGGGGTTGGAAAGATAATCCGGAAATTTCCTTCCAGCTTCTAAATTCTATATTAACTAAAATAAACCCAAGGGAAAATTAATCTATTTCTACCTAACACATCCCCAATTTTAGTCATTAAAATTATTTTGTTAATAAAGTATTTCTAACGAGTATCTGGAAATTAGTAATTAAAAAATATCCAGGAAAATATTACTCTTCTAAAAAATAAAAGTAATGAGCAAAATGTCCTTCCAAATATTTTAAAATATTGTAAAACTGTATTAATTAAATCAGGCAATAAGCTCCCCCACCCCAGTAAAAAAAAAAAAGAGAGAAATCAAAGGAACATTATGAAAGATTTTGAACTGAATAAAAAGAAGAAACAAAGAATAGTCTCCTGTCTAATTCACTTGTCTCGGTTACCTCCACCATTTAGAGTTTTTGAACTATTTTACAACACTGTAAGTTATGGAAAACTGAAAATAATGCAAATAACCTTGTCCATTCAAATGTAAATTAGTTGTATCTGGCTGGACTGCAATTAATCATTGCCTTTCACATAGACCAGTTTTTGCAATTATTTGTACATTAATTTATTTCAGTATTCCTTTACTACACATAAACACATGGCTCTTTAGATTCTCCTTTCTCCAGTTGTTAATACCTTACTGGTTCCCTCTGTAAAAGCTGAAAATCTAGAGATGAATTCAAATATATATAAGAATATTAGTTTATAATATAAACACTATTACAACTAGTGGAAAGGATGAGATTATTTACTAAATGGTATTGATAGAATAATGAACGGCTAACATTCAGGGAATATTAGCTACGTACCAGTCAGCATCTAAATGCTTATGTTAAAATACAACCGCTTTTAAGGTAAAGAAAACAGGCACAGAAAAGACAAGCAACTTTTCTAAGATCCTACACTAAGAACAGAAGAAACCAAGATTCAAGCCCAGTTTCACAACAAAGACTTTATAAGCTTGGATAGTCAAAAGACAAATAATTCATTTGGATCCATAATTCACTCCTTACTTTTATATAAAATAAATTCTAGGTTAATAAAAAATGTGGACTAATTACTGAAAGAATTGGACTACAAAGGTACATATTTCCACCAAGTGGAGAAGTTTACTAAATACATAAGAAATATCCAGAGACCAGAAGGATAAAATTGATAAGCCCAACTAGATTAAAAAAAACAAACAAAACAAAAAATTCCTAAAAGGTGAAGAGAATACCATAAATAAATTCAAACAAAAAATAACTATGCAAAAAAAAGTTTACTGTATATGACAGAAAGACTAATTCCCCAAAAATGCTTTTTAATAAGTGCATTTTAAAAGGTAAATTAATATGCAAAGCAACCATACTGGTACTGAAAAACATTAAAGAAAAATGGTAATTAGATTTTGCAAAGGGCAACACATACAGTCTTGTGTTGAACTGGTGTGCCTTTCAGAAATATCTCTAAAAATTTTTAATATTATACTCTCTGATGCAACAATTCAACTCCCAGTAATTAATTATCTCAAATTTACTAATCTCAAATTTAAACAAGAATCTTCACTAAGGTTTTCGAAAACAAACAAGCAAACCTGGAAGCAACTGAAATGTCTATAGGAAATAAATAAACATAATATATATGTGTTAAAGTGGAAAGATGTACAAGTTATATCATAAATAACTGAAAAAAGCAAGTTGAAGGAATGCATGTAACATTGTGAAAAATATAAACAAGTAATATATGTATATAATATATATAAATATATATATTTAAAAATCTTAAGAAAGAAAACAAAAAATAAAGTACATGCAGATAGTTCTTTCCAAAGAAAGAAAACAAAAACTAAAGTACATGCAGATAGTTCTTTCCAAAAAAAGTACACGTAGAAAATGGGGCCTGGGCCAAAAACGGGAAACGGCTTAACTTTGTTTCATCGACTTCGGCTTTAATACTTTTAATACTTTTTAACAACAAGCAAATATTATTGCACAATGCAAAAATTTAAGCCTTTGTTAATATGTGGAGTGAAAAAACATAAGTTATATTATGTATTAAACACCTACTGCAAGACAGATATTACAGTATGACTTAAGTTGGGGTTGTAAGGATTAAAATAGAATGACTATCCTACAACTTGAGGACAATTCTCATAATATATTGGTATCAGAAAATATAAAGCTAAAAAAATGTTTTTAAGCTCTCAGAGGAAAGGCAAATCACACTATAAGTAACAAGATTCAGTTAACTAAATCTTACATCATAAACATGGTAAAATTGACAAAAATATAGCAACAACTGGAAACAAATACACAAACTATTCCAGAGACAGGAATCATCACATTGATACAGAACCAAAGACTATTTTTATAAAGAAACAAATAAATAGAACCTCAGGATCTTAAAGTCAAACAACAATGACAGAAACTTAAAAGTACACACGATTTTTTTTAACATTAATACACATATATTATACTTTTTTAAAAGAATACTTCTCACATCAGTATTTAAATATAGCATATACTCAGTAGTATACTGGAGCTGGCCTGTACTGATTTCTGAGAGTTTATTATTAAATATTTAGAAATTTTTGAGTTGATTGTTAAACTGTTGGTAGCTTGAAATCATCCATGGTGAACATAGTTATATACCATGGAAATAAGCAAATGCTACAAACTAGGGCTTTCCACTTGCTTCTTCTTCCCTTCTTCTCCCCGCCATTTTACTGCCAAATCACTGTTCTTACCCATTTATGACCTTTTAAGGACAAGATATTCAATACAGTTTTCAATGCTATGACTGAAAAATGATAATGAAAACAGTCATACAGATCAATAAATTTCGAAAAGTAAATTAATTTGACTATTCAAAAGAAAATTGCCTACAATTTTGTATTCCAGTAATATAAAATAATTCTTCCCACATTAGAGAAAAAATTTTGAAAGAAAAATACAAATTTTCCTAAATATGGAAAGTTAGTCCAGGTATCTTCTTATTACAATACTAAAATCACCTATATTTTAAACATAAGTGCCTTGAAAAGTTTAAGGCGTGATTTAACAAATCTTAAGTTGTACTGCCTTTTCTTTATCTCCTAGAGAATTAATTTAAAACTTTTTAAAAGCACGACTCACTGCTCCTCCTGCTGGAAACAAAGGCAAATCTATCCCCAGAAAAGAAAAGCAAGGCTGTGAGTAAAGACCTGTCAGAAAATGAGCATTAAAATAATAGCATGTTAGTGAGACCTAACATGGTCTAAATCAACGGTCCCCAACCTTTCTGGCATCAGGGACCGGTTTTGTGGAAAACAATTTTTCCATGGGGGTGGGGGGACCATCAGTTAGATTCTCATAAGGACCGCAGCAACCTAGATCCTGCGCATGCACAGTTCACAGTAGGGTTCACACCCTTACGAGAATCCAATGCTGCCTCTGATATGACAATACACAGAGCTCTGCTTGCCGCCCAGCTCCTGCTGTGCACCCGGTTCCTAGCAGGGGTACTGGTCTAAGGCCTTGGGTTTAAGGATTCCTGGTATAATACATTACAGAAAGTCAGTTACAAAGTGGTCTTGAACAAAGATATATGCACAAAAAAGGAAATACATTTTTATGGTTGAGTAGTCACAATCATGACCTGCATTTACAATAGAAGTAAATAATTTCATATCATCACACATCATTCTCCAGGAAATGTTATGGCTCAGTATCATATTCTCTGGGTTCCCATCTGTAGACAGTGGATGAGTCTCACTCCCGATCCCAATTCCTCTCACCCATTTGCCAAACAGTAATTCCAGCATCAATTACCACCTCTCTACCTGATCATTTATGTAGGCATTACAAAGGACCTCTCTATCGTCTTTTTTAAAATGTGTTTAAATCAAATTGAGATATAATTTACATGCAATAAAATACATCCATCTTAAGTGTATAGTGCATACAGAGTTGTGTCAAGGTATACAGGTATGTATAACATTTCTATTATCCAGAAAGTTCCCTCATGTCCCTCTGCAATCAATTCCACCGCTTCACCTCCAGCCCCAGGTGACAACTGATCTGTTTTCTGTCATTATCGATAAATTTGGCCTGCTATAGAATCTCACAGAAGACCAGCCCAGACAACTTGGTGAGACCTTATCTCTACAATAAATCAAAAATTAGCCGGGCGTGTAACATGCCTCTGTAATTCTAGCTACTTGAAAGGATTGCCTGAGCCACAGCACTCCAGCCTGGGCGAGAGAGACTCCAAATGAAAAAAATAAAATAAAAGAATCTCACAGAAACAGAATTATACAGTGTATACTCTAGTCTGTCTGGTATCTATTCCTCAGTACTTTTGAGACTCATCCCTGTTGTTGTATCAGAATTACATTCCTTTTTACTGCTAAGTAGTGGTCCAGAGAAAGACCAAATCTAACTTTTAGACAGAGAGAAGAAAAAATAGCAAAAGATGAAAATTCTGAAATAAAGAGAAGGAACATCAAATTTTTTTTCATTTTTGAGTTGGGATCTCATTTCATGTTAATTTTTTAATTTCTTGTAGAAACAAGGTCTCATTGCTCAAGTGATCCTCCTGCCTCAGTCTCCCAAAATGCTGGGGTTACAGGTATGAGTCGCCCACTCAGGAAATAGAATATGAGCTAGCTTTCATGCCCTTAATAAAGACAAGACCTGGATGATCTAGGGTAGGCTTGAGGAGAATTTAAAAATTGTGAAAGTAATTAACCAGGACAGTATATGATTGGGAATCTCCTATAATGGATAGAAGAAACAAACTCTCTAAAAAGAAATTGGAAATGTGTATAAAAAACTTTAAAAATGGCTATTCTTATACCCAGATATTACAATTCAAAGATTATGTCCTAGGTTAATAGCTATGAAAATGTGCAAAGATGTAACAAGACATGCACTCTAGCACTATTTTATAACAAGAAAAAATAAGAACAACCTGAATGTCCAACTATAGGGAGTTGGACAAATAACAGGTAAGTTCTTTACCTGGAATGCTATATTGGCTTTTTTTTTTTTTTTTTTTTTTGAGTTGGAGTCTCACTCTGTCACCCAGACTAGAGGGCAGTGGCCGCTTTTGGCCACTGCAGCCTCAACCTGCTGGGCTCCGGCGATCCTTCCACCTCAGCCTTCCAGTAGCTGGAACTACAGGCGTGCACTACCACGCCCGGCTAATTTTTTGATTTATTGTAGAGATGAGGTCTCGCCAAGTTGCCCAGGCGGGTCTCGAACCCGGAGGCTCAGGCAATCCACTCACCTCAGCCTCCCAAAGCGCGGGATTACAGGCTGAGCCACTGAGCCCGGCTTATATTGGCATTTTTTAAGACAGTCACAATTTATTATTTATCCATTCAGCAAATATTTGCTAAGTGCTTACCATGTACACAGTACTACAAACATGGTCAAGACTTCTGTCCTCATGGAGCTTCCATTCAGAAGAAAAAAATGAGAACTTACAAAAAGATGGTATAGAATGACTCCACTTTTAATAGATATGTATGGGCACATATCTACATATGTGTGCACACATTTTATGTCATCTGCCTGGATATATTAACCAAAATATTTTTTTAAGTCATTGACTCTGAATGGAAGGAATGAGAGCACTCTTTTGACTTATCTAAATTTTCTAACTATTCAAATATAAGCATATATTACTTACGCAATATTTTTTAAAGCTTTTAAAAAAGAATTCTCATAAAGGACATGGTAGAGTTAGAAAATCTGCCAACTGGCCAGGTGTGGTGACTCATGCCTATAATCTCAGCACTTCGGGAAGACAAGGTCAAAGGATCGCTTGAGGCCAGGAGTTTGAGACCAGCCTGGGGAACATAGCAAGACCTCACCTCTACAAAAAAATAAAAAAATCAGCTAGGCATGGTGGCACATGCCTGTAGTCCTAACTACTTAGGAGGCTGAGGCAAGAAGAACACTTGAGCTTAGGAGTTTGATGCTGTGGTAAGCTGTGATCATGACACTACACTCCAACCTTGGTGAGAGAGAGAGAGAGAGAGACCATGTCCCTAATAAAAACAAAACAAAACAAAAAGAAAATCTGCCTATTCTCTCTCATCCAAGATTAGGAATCTGTCTCCTTACCTCATCATCAGTATGTTCCTCAGAGGTCAACTTGAGTACTGCCCTGCACTCATCCACAAAGGTGCTTGCAATCAACTCAGCATGATTTAAAAACACAGGGATGTCATCCTTGGTCAGTGGTTCATCACACGCTACCTTGGTTATCATAAGATCTAATAATGTAACCCTGTAAAACATAAAAGATTTTTACATAATTATATAATACTTGAATTGTACAAAGCTAACAATTCTTATGAAGACAAAATATTATGGAATATTTTTATTTTAAATTTCTTACCTTGTTGACTTTGGCAAAGTCTCAGGGTACAAAATAAACATGCAAAAGACAGTTGTATTCCTATACACCAACAACAAGCAGGCAGAGCCCCAAATAAAAAGCACAATCTAATTCACAATAGCCACAAAAGAAAAAATTAAATACCTCAGCACCTTTCTAATCAGAGAAGTGAAAGACCTTTACAATGAGAACTACAAAACGCTGCTAAAAGAAACCCAAGAAGATACAAACAAATGGAAAAATATCCCATGTCCATGGATAGGAAGAATCAACATTGTTAAAATGCCCATCCTACCAAAGGCAATCTACAGATTCAACACAATACCCATTAAGTTACCAACATCATTCTTCTCAGACCTGAAAATGACAATACAGAAATTCATATGGAAACATAAACGACCACGAATAGCCAAAACAATCCTTAGCAAAAGAAACAAAGCAGGAGGTATCACCCTTCTGACTTCAAACATTACTATAAGGCTACAGTCATCAAAACAGCCTGGTATTTGGTACAAGAACAGGCACTCAAACCAATGGAACAGGATAGAGATTCCGGAAGCAAAGCCTCAATTCCTCAACCAACTCATCTTTGACAAAGTTTCCAACAACCACCACTGGGGAGAAGAGAACCTATTCAGTGAATGGTGCTGGGAAAATTGGCTGACCACATGCAGAAGATTGAAACAGGACCCCTACCTATCACCATACACAAAAATTAACTCTAAATGGATCAAAGACCTAAACGTAAAACCTCAAACTATAAGAGTCTTAGAAAATGCAGGAGACACACTTATGGAAAGCGGAACCGGCAACCAATTCCTATTCAGAACACTAAAGGCCAATACCTTAAGAAATAAGATAGACAAGTGGGACCTCATCAAACTAACGAGCTTCTGCAAAGCAAAAGAAACCATCAAGAGAGCAGGGAGACAGCCCACAGAATGGGAAAAAGTATTTGCCAACTGTATATCTGACAAAGGCCTAACATCTAGGATCTACAAGGAACTCAGAGGCGCCAAAAGGAAAAAAAAAAACAGCTCCTTTAAAAAGTGGGCAAAAGACATGAATAGACATTTCTCAGAAGAAGATATATGGGCAGCCAACAAGACAATGAAAAAGTGCTCAGCCTCACTCATCATCAGAGAAATGCAAATCAAAACCACATTGAGATACCACCTAACTCTAGTAAGAATGGCCATAATTAATAAAACAAACAACAACAGATGATGGCGAGGATGTGGAGAAAAAGGAATGGTTCTACACTGCTGGTGGGAATGCAAACTAGTGCATCCTCTTTGGAAGATAGCATGGCGATTTCTGAAAGAACTAGAAATTGACCTTCCACATGACCCAGCAATTCCCCTATTGGGAATATACCCGGGGGAACTCAAATCATCCTACAAAAAGGATACCTACACACGTATGTTTGTTGCAGCTCTATTCACAATAGCAAAAACATGGAACCAACAATGTTGCCTATCGAAGCTGGACTGGATAAAGAAAATGTGGTACATATGCACGATGGAATATTATGCAGCCATAAAGAAGGACAAATATACGGACTTCGCAGCAACTTGGATGGATTTGGAGTCGATCATCCTCAGTGATCTCTCACAGAAATAAAGAACAGAGCACCATATGTTCTCACTCGTAAGTGGACCTTGAACAATTATAATACTATAAGAAAGCATTTAGCAGTAATGGGAAACTACCAGAGGAAGGGATGGGATTGGTAGTTGAGGGAAACTGCTTGGGAGGGAAGGGCATACCTGATCAACAAGGGTACCTGCATAATCAATGTTTGTATACCTAAACCTGAATTGTACCCCACATCTTTATAATAAAAAAAATAAAGATTTATAGAGCCAAACACCCCCACACACACACAAAAAGGAAATCTGAGGTTTTAAAAGTTTTAAAAATTGCTAAGGCAGGTGTTTTTTCTAGACTTAGGATTTTTCCCATCACTTAGCTACCATAAAAAAAGTATTTGGTATAGTTTTATTTCTTACTTGAAGCAATCAGTAATTCATATTTTTCTTTGGGTACAAAAAAAAAGAAAACTCCATGTCTGGTTTAAGTGTATTTTTCCTGATTTGCTAATAAGCATTTTAGATATTAATACTCTTTCTTATATAGAAACAAAAGAGAATTATACATATAATGCCAAACCAAAATGTAATTTTAAGGCAATGTTATACATGATTTATGGTAGATAGATTGCCCTACATGTGGTTCATTTTTCTTAGGAGAAGGAAAGAGGTGTTGAATAGCAATATTTATTTGATAACTTACATATCGATGTAAAAAATGGCATAGGCTTGGTCTACAAATTTGTGTTTTTGTAAAGTAAAACAGTTAAACAAAGAAAACAGCGATGCTTCACAAGAAAGACAATAAAATGAGTGGTGAAAGCACCTGAACCAGAGCAGAGTCCTGGTCTGGCTTAGACTCTCAGTGGTTACATGATAGTGGGCATGTTAATTAACTTGAATCCTGGTGTAGACTCTCAGTGGTTGTATGGCACTCGACAAGTTATTCAACCTCAGTAAGTCTTATGTACTCATCTTTAACATGAGGCTAACGACAGTACCTGTCTCATGGAATTTTTGTGAGGATTAAATGAGATAATATATATATAAAATGCTTAGTTCAGCAGTAAGTAGTGAATAAATGTTACCCTACTTCACTTTGCTGTTGTTATTATTGTAGACATGTTTAAACTGATGGCAGTTCTGAAATGTTGAATTATTTCAATGCTGAAAGTAATGGTTATAAAAGGTGCATTAGACAATTCCTGTTTCTGTAGCCAAGTCATCAAAATTTAAAAAACAGATAATTAATGAAAGTTAACTTCATTCATGAAATATTTTTCCTAGCCAGATATTATTAACAAGGTAAGAAATTTTTTTTTAACTTTTTTTTTAATTATTATAAAGATGTGGGGTACAATTCAGGTTTAGGTATACAAACATTGATTATGCAGGTACCCTTGTTGATCAGGTATGCCCCTCCCTCCCAAGCAGTTTCCCTCAACTACCAATCCCATCCCCCTTCCTCTGGTAGTTTCCCATTACTGCCAAATGCTTTCTTATAGTATTATAATTGTTCAAGGTCCACTTACGAGTGAGAACATATGGTGCTCTGTTCTTTGTTTCTGTGAGAGATCACTGAGGATGATTGACTCCAAATCCATCCAAATTGCTGCGAAGTCCGTATATTTGTCCTTCTTTATGGCTGCATAATATTCCATCGTGCATATGTACCACATTTTCTTTATCCAGTCCAGCTTCGATAGGCAACATTGTTGGTTCCATGTTTTTGCTATTGTGAATAGAGCTGCAACAAACATACGTGTGTAGGTATCCTTTTTGTAGGATGATTTGAGTTCCCCCGGGTATATTCCCAATAGGGGAATTGCTGGGTCATGTGGAAGGTCAATTTCTAGTTCTTTCAGAAATCGCCATGCTATCTTCCAAAGAGGATGCACTAGTTTGCATTCCCACCAGCAGTGTAGAACCATTCCTTTTTCTCCACATCCTCGCCATCATCTGTTGTTGTTTGTTTTATTAATTATGGCCATTCTTACTAGAGTTAGGTGGTATCTCAATGTGGTTTTGATTTGCATTTCTCTGATGATGAGTGAGGCTGAGCACTTTATCATGTGTCTTGTTGGCTGCCCGTATATCTTCTTCTGAGAAATGTCTATTCATGTCTTTTGACCACTTTTAAAGGAGCTGTTTTTTTTTCCTTTTGGCGCCTCTGAGTTCCTTGTAGATCCTAGATGTTAGGCCTTTGTCAGATATACAGTTGGCAAATACTTTTTCCCATTCTGTGGGCTGTCTCCCTGCTCTCTTGATGGTTTCTTTTGCTTTGCAGAAGCTCGTTAGTTTGATGAGATCCCACTTGTCTATCTTATTTCTTAAGGTACTGGCCTTTAGTGTTCTGAATAGGAATTGGTTGCCGGTTCCGGTTTCCATAAGCATGTCTCCTGCATTTTCTAAGACTTTTATAGTTTGAGGTTTTACGTTTAGGTCTTTGATCCATTTAGAGTTAATTTTTGTGTATGGTGATAGGTAGGGGTCCTGTTTCAATCTTCTGCATGTGGTCAGCCAGTTTTCCTAGCACCATTCACTGAATAGGTTCTCTTCTCCCCAGTGGTGGTTGTTGGAAGCTTTGTTAAAGATGAGTTGATTGAGGAACTGACGCTTTGCTTCCGGAATCTCTATTCTGTTCCATTGGTCTGTGTGCCTGTTCTTGTACCAAATACCAGACTGTTTTGATGACTGAAGCCTTATAGTAAAGTTTAAAGTCAGAAGGGTGATACCTTCTGCTTTGTAAAACCTCAGATTTCTTATGATAATTATTCATTCAAAATAAAACAAACACAAAGTTCTGTCAGTCCCTGAGCACAGGATTATAATATTTCTGTTTTCTCTTGTTCATATATATAAAATCTTTAAAAATCAAATTAAGTACCCCCAGGCCATAAGGCCAGACTTTCCACTTTCCCCAAGCAGCATGACTTTCCAGGAATGCTAGGAAAGAGGCCATCTATTCTGTGTGGTCCAAATGAGTGCTCTAAAAATATTTTTTAAAATTAGATTAGATAATAGTTATTGCTAGGTAAAAGAAGTAATAATCCCTTGGCCTTAGGGAATTTAGTACCTAGTTGGCTACTGCTTGAATATGTAATATATCATTATTCTTAAGGTAGCCACAGAAAGGGGTGTAGAGAAATGAGAAAGAAAATAGAAAGAACCAAACAGCAGGGCAGTTCCTGAATGGGCAGTCATGTGAGGTCAGGACAGAGAGGGTGGTCCCAAAATAATGAAAATCAAAGTTGTGTTCAGCAGCAACAGAAACCTCTGAGGGTCCAAGTGGATGAA